TAAAAAAGCCACTGGCAAGGCTGCCTCCAGAGGAGGTGAGTCAAGGAAGGGGCTAGAGTATATAATCAGAGGGAGCGAGGGAGAATAAGGCTTCTTCCTAGATGTGATTCTGGCTGTCATGTAGAAGTCATCTTGGTTGGGTAGGGGGAGAGAGTATATTTAGTAGCTTTCTGTCTTGGGGCTCATACCTGGAAGGGATGGTCAGGATGGGAGCAAAAGCCAAAAAAATTGTTGAGTGGAATTAGGATCCACAGGGGAGAACAAACAATAAGAAAAGAAGCAAAGCCAACTGAAGCAGAGAAGGCACTGGATATAGCAACATCTCTTAGCATGGTTATCTCCAGGTAATTAGAAGAACATGATTTCGTTTTTTCTTAACATGCTGCCCTGTCAGCCCAGGTAGGTTAGTGATGTCAGGACAGCAGATAAGAGAAAGGTAGTAGGCCCCCCCTTATCTTGGTCCCTGATCTGTCATCCCAGTACCTGGAATCATCATGAAAAGAGAGTGAGCTAGACAGCTGTTGTGCCGGCCTTGGTGAGAAACCTGCATGTTCACGCCTCACTAACTTAGGAGAGAGTTCTCCAGAGCTAGAAGCTCAAGGCTCAGTTTATATTCTGCTTCTCTCTCTGCTGTCCTATGAGTGTTTTTCTTCTCTTTCTGGATCCCAGTGGTTGGACACTGGTCTCTTATCTGCAGGGTGACATCAGCCTGGGGCATCAGTAGGTATCAGAATTTCAGGGATGGGAGAGGAGAAGCATTATAGATACTTAGTTTGGGAAGGAAGCAGGAGTCAAGATCCCCAGGCAGGTGTTAAGTAAATTGAAGATAGAACCAGAAATAAGACAATTTTTGGCTTTTTCCTCCTATGTCCAGGGGAGCCCGTGGCCATACCAAGACCAGTTTCACAGTCCTTTCCTCTTACAAGGAGAAATGCAGTTCTGGGATAGGGAATAGGACAATGGAACTAAAGAATTCAGACTCTTTAGGACATTCTCCTGTGATCAGTACCCTCAGCGTTTGTTTTCATTTCCTTCTATTGTACCCTCTCCCCAAGCAAGATATCTGAGCCATGCCCCATTCTCCCTCTAGGTGGGTCCTCCTCATCTACTGCCACATGTCTGAACCCAGTGTAGCTTCCCGCCGTGCCTGAGCCCCTCCCCTTTGCTCCTTAGGCCTCACCCTATGTCGTGGACCATGGAGAATCTGGCCCTTTGCGCTGCAACCGCTGCAAAGCATACATGTGCCCCTTCATGCAGTTTATCGAGGGAGGGAGGCGCTTCCAGTGCTGCTTTTGCAGTTGTATCAACGACGGTATGTTCACGAGACTGGGGTGTGGGGAGGAGGGTCTTGGTCATATTTTCGTTTCCTTTCTAGTTAGATAGATGAGGGTTCTTTTTTTCACAATCTGGGGAAGTAGGGTACACTCAGGGATGTGGGAAAATAAAATGAGCTTGGCCAAGGCCAGACAAGAGTGGGCCATGGGGCCAGCAGTTAGTGTAATGGCTATGTCGCTGGACTCCCACATAGTCGACTGCAGTTCACATCCCAGACCCAGTGGCTTAAAACTCACGCCAGGCGTGTGTGCGTGCATGCCCAAGATCCCGACGGGAGAATGGAGGAGAAGGGATTGTGGTGTGGCCATCCCCCCTGGGGATATAGGGCAGAACTGAAATATCCGCATGTTTTCTGCTGTTCCTCAGACTCTGTTCCAACCTCAGACAGGTGCTTTCTCTCTCTGTCTCTCTCTCTCTCTGTCTGGTGAGCGCACGCGCCCTATAG